AGATTTTGCAGTCTAAACTTTAAATTGGAATTTTGAACACGATCCCGTCTTTTGATCAAAAATTAAATTAAGTAAAGTAAAGTCTCAGCTACAACATACTAAAATATGAGAGACATCAGATTAACGATAGACGAGATATATTCAAAACAACGGCAAGTATTACCGAAGAATTGCAACCGAAGATTTTGAATGATCTAGATTCGTTAGTATATATACCATATTTAAATTAACTGAATTATGGGAAAGTCCTCAAATAGCATTTTAATATATGTTTGTAAACAATGTGTTTACAACGACACTGTAGTGTTTACAACACGACCAAACTTGTTTACAAACACGTACAGTTGTTTGCTTTCTGATTGGTTATATCTATAGGTCCATTCTAAGGCTGTATAATTGTACAAACGTATGGCACTTCGGCCCGCACGCTGTAAACTATACATGCGTTCACGAGTGCGTCGATGGATGCATAGCTGTATAGCCGTATAGTCGTATCATTTCCTGCATTCTAATTGGTTAAAACTATGCATCCATTCGATGGATGTATAGTTGTATAGTTGTCATGAAATGTGGCACGTTCCGCCCGTTATAGACGACGTGCACCAGGTATCTGATCAATGTCACAAGACTGTGGAATACAGACTCACGCAGCCTATGCTTTTCATTTGATACGGATTATCAGTTACATCTACACGAACATCTGATAGAACTAAGCACATTTGTGCCAAGGGAATTTGTATAAGACTGATTTCTAGATCATTTCCTCGACACACTGCATATTTTGGTATCTATCAAACTCGATTCAAGACACAGAGACAAACTCTGCTCTTATCTTGCGAAAGAGACATTGTAAATGCCTCTATAACACATTCTAGAAGAGACCTCTCATGTCACTTGTTGCCAAATACTTTTACTTGAACTGTGTAAGATTATGTGTGAATCCTTTTAGCTCGGCTATAATTGGATAATTATTTCTGAGGAGAGGACTCGACGCCTCATAACACGATTCATTTCGCATTCAGCAGGATCTAGGGAAACAGTGAGTATAATATATCATTTTTGACTCGTTACATCTAAATTTTGTTGATCCAAGCAATAGCCACTATATTAGCTCATCGGAATACATTAACTTACAATTCATATTGCAGAAACCCTAATCCTTAGTAAATATCATAAACAATTTGACTAAATGTTATTAATATTGGACTATACCCATATTAACATGTCTTAAATTTCTTAAAATGTTATCATGTTCTGTGGAAATCTGTATGTATTTGTGTGGATTTATTTGCTTGTGTGTACGTTTGTGGTACTGTTTTTATGTTTGTAATATAATTTTGTTTGATTGTGGTCCTGTTTTATGTTTGTAATATAATTTTGTTTGATTGAAATAAGGCCGAGGGTCCAACCAAATGTACTTCCAACAGCAGTGATGTGTTCTGAACAGCAGGCAGCAGTGGATTGAGGGGCATAACACTGGTTTATAAAGCGCCAATGGCGACACTAGCGGCTCCTACGAGCGTCTATCGCATTTTTACACGGCGCTTTCGCACATTAAGCAACCGTACACAACCGTAAGCAAACCTACGCCAGGCCTACCCAACCGTAAGCAACCCTACGCCAGGCCTACGCAACCGTATCGACTACAGAAATGTCAAAACAAATATTGTCGTTTAGTATTAGATGCAGATTATTATACGCCTGTACAATTTATGTTAAATTCTTTAAAGTTGCAATCCGTCGAACACAGATTGGAATATAACTATCAAGTACTTATGTATAAAATCCTGAATAATCTTGCTCCTGTTTATCTAAAACAAGCTCTACCTCAAAGTGCTAACCCGTATCCCACGAGATCAATTCAATGCATTAATTGTACCTTGCCAAACCCAGAACCGATTTTAAAAAAACTGACCTTAACGTACACAGCAGCAAAGTTATTCAACTCACTACCCATACTTACCAAATGTTCCGCCTCACTACCCATTGTTAAAGGTATTACAAAGTTTTGGTATGGGGTCATGAATTTGGTTCAAATTAACATATTGGAAGCATATGCGTTCCTACAATGTTCATTGATCGTTGTCCCGGTTGAAATCGAGTCTAAAGTTATGAAATTATAAATAATAAACTCTTTATGTTGTATAGCTCCCTCTCAAGGTCAATATATCAAGTTAGCTATGAAACAATGTTTCTTGACTAAAATCGACCGTTTAGCTATTCCCGTTTGGAAATTATATATCACAACTACATATTCATGGATCTTCATGGTCGCAGCTACCATTGTACGGCCGTAGGCGCTATTTTAAATTTATCAAAATTTACCGGGAGCACCGGTAAATTTTTATATTCAATTTTTCTCGAAAACAGAAGTGGCAGCAGATATATGAACGAGGTTCCTTTAGACAAAATATTAGTTATACAGGTTATAACTTTTGAATGTACTTTTTTTGTATACGCACTGAATAATGTTCTATTCATTTACTAGGCGTGCGTGTATGTTGGAGTGTGTGCACGCATGTGTATGAATGCGTTTTTTTTATTTTTTATAAATAGATGTGTGTCAATAAATATGATGATTGAAATCTAGGACAGATTAAAGTATCAATCCTAGGTCCGATGAAAGTCAGTTTGTAGGCTAACACGGAAGCCGGACACGAGCGCTAGACCAACTAGCAATCCCTTTAAAAATGGTAGGTTGATGTTAGTTTGTCTTTCAAGGGAAGGTTAATTTTCCCTTTCCCATTGAAATGTGTTCAAATCATTTTGAAATTGTTGGAATATTAATATGTGAAAGGAAAAATCCCTCCCAGATCAAGTTAGTGTGTTTGGTTGAGAAGGGGGATCTGTTGTCATTCGAAGGAGGAAACGTGTGGAATAATAAAGTCGGAGAGCAAGTTTTAACACAATTTAGAATAAAAGTTATGAGATCCATGTAATATTCATATTTCCGATGAAGTGTATTTCACATCAAGTACACTGTAGTGTAATACACAATATAATAACAAAAACAGGCCTAAGTGTGATTGAAAGTGATTTTGTAAATCAAATACAACTTGCGATAGTCACCGGCAGGTTTTATTTGCATTAACAGCATCATGTACTCAGGTATGTTAAGTTAAGTACAAAAAAAGATACCCTAGTGGAGTAGTAGAGTAGAAGAGTATCATAACATCCATATAAGTTTATAATGTTTTTCTTGAATTATTTCAATCACTAATCCCTGAATGATCCGGGTACGCAAACTCGAACCAAGCCTTTATTATTTTTATTATGATTTTTTTTTTTTTTGGGGGGGGGGGGAGTGGGCTGTGCAATTATTGAACATATTTGTAATATAAATCAAGATCTAGTGATTTTGTTATAGTTTGATGTTTCAAAATAAACAATTCTTCTTGTTTGCTTCACGAACCTATACCAAATTTGCCACATCATCGGCTTAGCTGTATTTATTTTCTTCTGTTGATACACTTCAAAAGAGATTTTGATTTCCATGGAAGTCTCGAGCATTTTTTAATGATTCAACGATTATGTTGGCGGATTGGAGTAATGCAGTAGTATTTCCCCGAAAATCATCAAATTAATAGTTAACATCATCCTTGTCGTATATATTACTGAACAGTCGAAAGGGCATAAAGGTATTTCACATATATACAGATAGATGAAATAGTATCTCCAATTATGATACATGCGCATAAATATCCTTGGTAAAATGTGTCATCGCAGTATATATGGACTGATAATGCACTAAAGCAAAAAAAAAAAAAAAAAAAAAATATGGAATTACACGAAAATGTCGGTCTCTTGGGTCGTCAGTCTATCGAATCCTCAAAAAAGTTGTCACATGGCACACAACACCGACATGGTAGATCCTGTAGAATGTAGCCTTTAAATATGGAACATTGAAAGAGGTTGCTAAAATGTATTTATATTTATTTCGTTTTAAAGTTCGTTCAACTCTTACCGTGACAAGGGCTTTTGCTTGTTCAAGATTTTACCCGAACACAAGCAATATTGTGTGCACATGTTATAGGAATCTTATTTTCTAATAATACCAAGAATTAGTTTTACGAATACAAATTATTTTAAAAATATAGATGAGCTAACTCTTAATCCTTTACTTTTCTGTTCATTTTTTTTACCATTGTTAAATGCTATAATTGGAAAAGATCCTGCGGCATAATTAGGAATTCTCTCAAAAATGTCTATAGCTGCATATAACCGTGTCACAAATTTACTTATTTATGATAATTATGCTAATCGTGGACACACGCCCAATTTTTTGTGAAACGGAGATCACTAATAAAAAAGAAGCATGGTACGTACATCCAGGTATATACTTATGTTACATATATATTTACATTCGTTTGTGAGTGTTCGAAGTCAGTGATGACTATCGCCATAACTATGGAGGCCTATCCGGGATTGGAACCCGGGACCTCTCATACCCCACACAAGAATCATTCCTCATTCGTTTACCGTTGTCAACTTTCTCAAAAATATCTAGAATACTTGACTCATGCTCTATACGTTCTTATTGATGAAGCAATGTGTGTTTAAAATGACCTCGACTGTGTGTCACATATATTTATGTGACAGGCGCAGTGAGAGTTAACAAGTCTCTGAAAATGAAATTCGTTTGGAATAGACCGGTTTATTAACATATTCAAATTGTATGCATTTTTTTATACACAAAGGTTGTTCTTGACAACCTAAAAGCTTGCCCGAGGCTGGCCTGACAAAGCAACACATAATTTAAGCAGACTTGATTCTAAGTACTGTAGTTAATTCATTAATAACAGGTTAATGGAATAACTCATCACTAGGTCCCCCCAGGAAAGAAACATTACATTTTTGTTAGTGAACCGGCCAATGTTTAAGACTTATGCACCAGGCAAACCTTGAACCGACGTACGGTGGACCCCATGTTTGTGAGTAACTATCATATATGTATCTCTATTTATATGTTGACATTTCTCCTCAGCCTGGACACCTTCACGATGGGAAAGAAACTTTCTAAAACAACTGAACAGATGACTGAACCCCCGAGGGATGACATACCAAGTACAAGGTACAGATATAAGTCCACCGTAATACATGAATAATTGTTTAACTTGCACTGGTCAAAGAAATTAATGCTAATGACTGAGTAAGACCATTTATCTCTTTTGAGAGTACTTCAGGTTATTATTCTTTAAAATGTCATGTGAATGAGCTTTTGGTAGTAATTATAAACGATGGTCGACACCTGCTGTGAATAAAAGTTGCTCTTGGCAACTTAACAGCTTGTCCGAGGCTCGCCCGATATAGCAACACATAATTTAAGCAGACTTGATTCTAAGTAATGTAGTTCATTCATTAATACCGCGTTAATGGAATAACTCATCACTAGGTCCATAAGAAAGAAACATTACATTTTTGTTAGTGAACCAGCCAATGTTTAAGACTTATGCACCAGGCAAACCTTGAACCGCCGTACGGTGGACTTAATGTTTGTGAGTAACTATCATATATGTATCTCTATTTATATGTTGACATTTCTCCTCAGCCTGGACACCTTCACGATGGGAAAGAAACTTTCTAAAACAACTGAACAGATGACTGAACCCCCGAGGGATGACATACCAAGTACAAGGTACAGATATAAGTCCACCGTGATACATGTATAATTGTTAAATTTGCACTGGTCAAAGAATGCTAATGACTGAGTAAGACCATTTATCTCTTTTGAGAGTACTTCAGGTTATTATTCTTTAAAATGTCATGTGAATGAACTTTTGGTAGTAATTATAAACGATGGTCGACACCTGCTGTGAATAAAAGTTGCTCTTGGCAACCTAACAGCTTGTCCGAGGTTCGCCCGATATAGCAACACATAATTTAAGCAGACTTGATTCTAAGTACTGTAGTTCATTCATTAATAAAAGGTTAATGGAATAACTCATGAGTAGGTCCCCAGGAAAGAAACATCTGAGACATTTAATTGTTGTTAGTGAACCGGTCAATTTTTAGGACTTATGTCCATCGGTGGACCCCATGTTTGTGATTATTTATCATTTATGTATCTCTATTTCTCCTCAGCCCGGATACCTTCACGATGGGAAAGACATTTTCTAAAAAAACTGAACAGATGACTGAACCCCCGAGGGATGACATACCAAGTACAAGGTACAGATATAAGTCCACCGTGATACATGTATAATTGTTAAATTTGCACTGGTCAAAGAATGCTAATGACTGAGTAAGACCATTTATCCCTTTTGAGAGTACTTCAGGTTATTATTCTTTAAAATGTCATGTGAATTAACTTTTGGTAGTAAATATAAACGATGGTCGACACCTGCTGTGAACAAAAGGAGATTCGTTCGTTGAAATGAAAATATGACGTTATTCGTTATTCATCTCAGAGGGAAAGAAATGATAAACATCAAACCTCCAATATACAACGAATCTTTTTATCAGTACACTAACAACAGATAAGATTATATAGGCCCTATAGTTGACCATTTTAAATGGTAAATGCGTAAACGACGGACTCCTTTCAATTCAATCAAAGCTTTATTATATAAACAAGCAAGTACACATGTGACCCCACTCCACAAAACTACCAAAAAGTCATATAGTGTGGTTTTCAGTTAGAGCTCAATGAAGGTGTATTTGTTCAGGAAGGCCTAATTTAGCTTTTAGAATTTCCTATAAGAGTATACTTTTTTAATGTAATTTAAAAACTTCGAAGAATAGGATGGGAGTAATTATTCTGCTACATTTTATCAAAATCTGATTATACCTCCACAGATGTCTTTATAGAATTTTAATTTCCCTTTTTTACCTTGCACAATACCTTTAGAGTCTCAGTGTTTAAATAGACTGCGGACTTTAAACACATTTTTCTCTAAAGTAACATTATACGGGACGTAATAATAATACAATTGTATTGATACACCAAAAATGTGAACAATGGAAAAGAGAAAAGGCCCAGGTCATGTGTCGTTACTATTAACAATGCAGGGCTAATACGTCTAATTATTTATGATGGAAAACGTGATACACAAGTTTAACATGTCCCCTGTTTGGGGTCGAAAGGGCGTTAACTCCATGTTAAAGTAATATATATCAATGCCATCGTGGCTCCAAACAGACAATGGTACATAAATACGAGATGCGAATGTTAAATTTATAAACAGTACTTCTTGTTCATGACTGATGCGCATAAGAATCACTGATTTCACGAACAGTACCAGTGATGCCCTGGAGAAGCTGGAGCGCCTTATAAAAGGGATAATATCAATTACAAACTACACACACTCTTGCAAGCTCCAAAGCAGCAGAGGATGCTATCATCAAGTATCAGAAATGTCAATTTTTTAAAGAAAAAAAGAGGGATGGGTACAAATTTTGAACCCAAACCCTCCTGCACATCCAAATTCCCAAATCTATCATTTTAATTCTGGGTTATGATTTATCAAAACTAAGGAACCAAATTTATCTTGAATATCTTGAAATCAATTCACAACTCTGTATAAACAATGGCGTATATATGGATTATGGCGCCCAAAGCAATAAATGAAACTGCGACCCCCCACCCCAACTGCCCGAACATATCTACGGACGTATCCGGACAATTACCCCCTGGGCAATCATCCCCGGAAAATTACCCCCTTGAAAACTACCCCCCCCCCAAGGACACTGACTCCCGGGAAATTATCCCCAGGACTTTTACCCCCCGAGTACAGTTACCCTCCGGAACATTACCCCACCGGTGGACAATTACCCCCCGAGGACAATTACTCCTAGGACAATTAGCCCGCCCGCCCCCTCCCCCGAATCACCCCCTGTTCGTTAAAAGGGAAATCCAGCCTGATTATAAGTTGGTTTAAAAAGGAGATTTTTTTTTCTTCGGGGGGGGGGGGGGTGGTCATTGTCCTAGGGGGTAATTTCTGGGAGGAGGAGGGGTAATTGTCCTAGGGGTAATTATCCCCGGGGGTTTTTGTCCTTGGGGGTAATTTTCCGGGGGGTGATTACCCAGGGGGTAATTGACCTGGAACCGGAAAAATAAATTCAGGGCAAAATTCGCCAATTTCACAGCAAAATTCTTGATTTGAGATGTCCCTTCGGGGCCACCATAATGTTTGTAATGCTACGAAATTGAGAGCTCATGGGCATCTTACAGGAGAACATGTCATGAGTTAATGTGTTTTAAGTTCTAAGAAATATATGAAGTTATCGGAAATTTACAACTAAGAGACATGTAAAGTCTTATTGAAAGATGGCATTTAGTTGGAGGAGAGTTGGGCCATCAGTGCCATAATCGCTTATAAGCAAATTTACAATATTATTGGTTCCCATATGAGTATTTCCAAGTATTTACCCTTATTTCCCAGTATTTCCCAGTATTTACACTTATTTCCCGGAAAATTGCAAACCGTGCATGCATTCCCGATAAAATGACATAGCAATTTTTTCTAGAGGCTCTGTTTATGTTCGGCTGGTCTACTACACTAATGTCTTGAACAGGTACCCAACATTTATGTACATGTATTTCAAAGAAACGTTTATTAGAAATGATGTATATATATATATATATATATATATACTGTATAAGCAAGCCCCTAAACGGGGAACGTATTCTATATTCTAAAAAAACGACATTGCAGTTGAAAAAGTAGAATACTTCTCAAAGTAAATGTAAAGAAATGGTTTCGTTCAAATATTTCATCTTTCTAATTGAAGTAAACGCTAACATGACTAAGTATTTTTGATGTCTTGGAATATATGTAGTCCTTAAATCTAAGAATACTACTAGCTCACATACTGGTATATTAAGGACATGAACAAAATGTTAACTCTGTTATATAATGGATCCTCGAACCAGTGACATAAAATATCAAGCAGGAAGGAATTGAAAATTGACCAGGACGTTTCGTTACATTAATCAATGGGGGATATGTAATTCATGATACACAACGAATAGAAGGCTTGATTAACTGTGTGGTATAACTTTAAATATAGATTTGCACTAATTCTATTTTATATGCTTCTTATGTTCTAGTAGCCAAACATCGAGTCAAACAAATGGATTTGATAACGTCATCATCAAAGTAGCAGACGCCATATCAGATGATGGTGATATAAGGAGACTTGGTCTTGAGCTGGGAGTCCAGAGTGCTGCTATTAACCGGGCATTGGAGACGAATTGGGCTGGAGGTAGAAAGACTAGTAATGGTAACGTAATGATGCTTCAGAACTGGGCGGAGACGGTCAAACTATCCAAGCAACTTCCAACTCTCAGAGCAGCTCTCAAAAAGGTGCGCCTTCTAGAGGTGGAAGAAACATGTCTCACAAGCTGCAGCGGTAAGCTTCCTTAAATAAATGATAGTGTAAAGCTATGGTCACAAATCAGAGCAGCGACCGACCGATCAGTAGCCTGCTCAGTCGCTGCTGGAATTAAGCATCGCCCAGCAATTAGGTCGGTGCCCGGGCGGCGACCGCCCAGGCACCGAGCGTATTTTGGTCGGCGAGTGAAAAATGAGCAGGCGCCGCCCAAATTTTAATTCTGCGCTAAAACTTCAGCAGCGACCGAGCGATGCCCTAAAAACGAGCGGTGCCTGGGCGGCCGCCGCTCGGTGGCCGGGCAGCCGCCGGGCAGAATTGGTTAAAAACTCGCCGCTCGGCCGCCGAGCAGGCTACTTTTGGGTAATGTGACCATAGCATTAATGAAAGTACTTATAAAGCAACTTGATTAATTATCATATGTGAAGACCATGTCCTTAGTTTGAGTAAAATTTTCCTTTACAAACTACATTGTATATTCACACCCCAAAATTGTTTCTATTATAAATTAGTTCAACGAGTGTTGCATTGGTATCCTCTGATAGGTAGAAAAGACAATTTTATGCACACACAATTACGAGAACGTGCAATAAATTGGTACACAAAATAAACATTAGAGCTAAAGCCCTTTCACGTGTCATTTAGGTTCATTTATGTGCTGTAATATTAGTTTCCATCTAAATGTTGCGTTGGGGCAGCACTCATTATTGTAGTGGTGTTGTGGTCGAATGGATACGTCGCCGGACTGTCGATGACAAGGTCGAGTCCCGCCGCCGCACTTCATGTGATTTACAGCTTCAATTTACCAGTCGGAAAAACTTGTCTCACGATCATTCCACCCCACTGAAAAACAGCAAGAACCTTGGCTTCCGAAGACAGATCGGCATACCCACTGCAAATTTTACAAGGGGGTTCAAGTAGATCTGTGTCCGGAGGCCGGGTTTATCCTTTGTAGTCCAGATTCTGTCCGTTTTTTAATATGTTTTATATTCTTCAGTCACACCCATACCTCTAACAGCGCAGTGTCTCCATTCATCGCGCGATCTTCCAAAACAACCGTCGAAAAGAACGAGAGGCAAGGTCTACTGTCAACGTTGAGGGTTTGTTATTTTCTCAGCTGATTGGGCCAAGTTTTGAACCAGGTTTTTATCTAATTTTGTATCTAATTTTATTACGAACATTATTATTTTGCAATAATGCTCTACTCTTTTTCCTCAGGTGACGATGAGGCGATGAAAGGTGACTTTATGAAGTTAAGAGAACAACTGAAAAGTAGATATCGCAAGAAATTTGGTCAGATCAAAACATCGCCTGTGAACCCTGAGTCACGAACATGGCTTCAGCACATCTATGTCAGTCTCGTTCTGATGTTGGGATTGGAAGGGGAAAGGGAGAAGCCAATAGATTACGACGGGTTGTTTAAATTCATCAAAACTGACACTCCGAAAGGTTTTGTAACACGTTTAGCTTTCATTGGAGAAGCTGGTGTAGGAAAATCGACGCTGTTTGCTAAGATCGCTCTTGATTGGGCTGAGGGTAAAATTCTTCAAGAAATCAATCTGCTTTTTCTTGAATCATTTCGAGAGATTAAAGAGAGCGAATTCTTTGGGGATACTGTCATGAGCCATTTCCCAGATGATTTGGAAGTAAAGGGGGAATGGGTTGATGCATACATCAGGAAAAATCAGAGAAAAGTCCTTATCCTATTGGACGGACTGGACGAGGCACAAATCGACATCAAAAAGCCTCATCGCAATGACGCTATCGTATCGATCGTGAGAGGTGAACGATTCATTGATACCCCAGTCGTTATTACAACCCGTCCTTTTGGAGCCGATCAGATCAAGAGCATCATGGCGATTAATGACCATTACACGTTTGGTAAGGTTAAGGGCTTCGCAAAGGAAAACATGGCAGCATATATCAAAAACTATTTCAAAGATGATTCTGATTCTGCTTCGACCCTCATTAACTTCATTGATAAAAACCAAGTGGTTTCTGAGTACATGGCACCCTTCCCGATATTCTGCAGTATGCTATGTAGCTTGTGGAAAACGCCAAGTGGACGGGAAAATTTTCAGACGATGGAAACATTCTCGCAACTCTTGAAGCGTCTTGTCTTTTCACTTCAAGAGCAATACTTTTCCAAACCAAATGATTTAGAAGAGGGCTATGAAAGCCGCATAGCGAAAGCTAGTGAAAGTATGAAAGATATTAGTTGTATCGCATTTCAAGGTCTATTGGTTAAACAGCTCATCTTCGATGAAAAGGCGCTCGACTCATGCAAAGAGGCTGCAATGACTGCATGCGAGGTCGGGATTCTTAGTAAGGAAATAAGGCCAGCACCCTTGCAAATCAGAGAAAGTCAGCGAAAGCAATTTATTCAAGAATTTTCTTTCCCTCATAAGTTACTGCAGGAGTACATAGCGAGTTTCTACCTTGCATCGCTGTTCAACGAAGATCGTCAAGAATTCAACAGAATCCTGGCGGACACTCTTTTAGAAGACTACAAGGAATTCAGATATGTCCTGTACTTCACTGCAGCTCATGGAGGTGAAGTAGGAAAGTCGATCCTGGAAGTCCTATGCAAGAAGGTTGATGACACGGAGTTCATCATTCAGTGTGCATTTGAATGTCATAATTCAGAAGCCATTGATCCCGTCAGGAACCTGTTGAAGACGGAGGCAACTCTAAAGTTAACTTCTAGTCTTTCAAATGCCGCATTTCTCTTCACTCTGGAACCAATAGGGAAGGAAGTAGTAAGTTTCGTGAATAGAATTATAGACGTATTACATTTTCACTCATCTAATTGTAAATTGTATTATATTTAGGGAATACTGTCACCTGTTGAGCTTTCAGTAATTGCATTTGCAAATTTTGCTACAAAGAAAAGGACAACTACACATTATACCGTCGAAAGTATATCGAAAATATAGGTCATTCTATATTCAATATGCCCTCCATAAATACCTCAATCGCTATCCACTTTTCAAGTATGCTTATTACAGATAACTAAAACAAACGATAAATCTAAATCTGTTTTGTCCTGTTCATATCACCTTCCATAATTCGTGATGATAAGAATGTGAGTTTGTATCCATGCTATTTACATAACACATGCCGTCAGAATCTGGCCTAATCGTGAAGACATCAAGAAAAATGACTTGGTCTGTTTTGTATTCCTTTTACAAACGAATACATGCTATAAGAATTGTTTGCACAAATTAAACCATTAGAAGGTATGATTGATTATAATTATTGAAAGTATTTATTTATAGATTGAATTCTAAAATGTACTTGTTGTACAGGTAAGACGAAGTTCCTCGATTCGCGAAACATTGGGTGTTAGCGAGTCCTTTGAAGCTACCGCATCATCGTCTGATGTAGCAGCAGCAGTAGGTCTCTTCACATTGCAGACCTTACGAGAGGTGACAATTCGAACCGAACTGGATAACAAATTCTACACAGGAATGTCTGCTGCTGCTCCACAGTCCATGGTTTGTGATTACTATATTTACGTTGATGAATCCTAAATCATAATTATCATTATTCCTTAATCGATGCATGCTATTTGTTGCTTATTTAAAGAGAAGGTTGAGTTCTGGGAAGAGGTAAAAATAATTTGTAAGCGTTATCATTGTTATTATGCAAGTGTGGAAGAATATCAGATACAAAATGTTACCTGAAAAGCATGGCTCTTCAAATGCCTTCATATTCTAAATATGGCATGTAATAACATAAAAATCGGGACGGATTTTTAAGCCTCATGTTTGTGTAGTCCCTATACATCTTTCTGTGTAAAGTGCTTGTTACTTTACCAAGACTGGGCCAAATTTCTTATCATTTTGATGATTCCAGAACCTTGCAGTACACACCAATACTTATATGCTAGATGATCAACCTTTTCTGATCGATTCCACACCATTTCTTTCACAATTTAAGTAAAGAATTTTGTTTACATTCATGAACAAAATTATATAATATCTCCTTTTTTCTTTTAATATCTTTACCCATATTGCCTTATTTCTTCACTTTTATATATTTTCTTTTATTATGTGACTGCTTTATGAAAGAAAATGCTAAGTAGAAACTATTAATGATCATATATCAATTTGCTCTATTTTTCATATGGCATATGACAACAGAACAGTTACGTAATGATGATCAATTATCAATAAATTCTCCTCATCTTTTTGTTATATTTCATTGTCTCGCACATTATGCTCTTCTGCTATCCTAGATTTAATTGATATCTGTTTATATCATGGAGTTGTTATACTTGAATGGCAGAACAAACTTGTTTAAATCTTTCTATTTGAAAAAGGTTGACGACAAGTTCTAATGGCATGCAATAAGTAACCTTTTACTCTATTTTCCCTGTTCACCATTTGATTCTTCTACCATTAGGTTTACTCAATATGTGTGTTTCTTTCAATCTAACTACACTGTTGGTCATAATGGTGGAATATTTTTTTTTACCCCGATTTATGGAAAGATTTTAAAAATGATTTATTCTTACTAGATCTAGATAATAGTATACATTCTCAGATTTGACTGAATAATAATTTGTGAGTGTTTGTTTTGCGTAACTGCTGAAGCATGTGTATGCTACTATGCTAATCTACTAGGGGACCTACGTCCTTAAGTCATAACTGACAGTAATGAGGAATAATGCCTCATGAAAGGGCACTAATAAAGCATATCGATACGGTTTTGATCCTGGGGGCTCACAGTAACGAGGCCATTGCTTAGCCACTGAATCATGACTGTACGCAGCGGGGGCTAGGGTACGTCGTCGCCCCACAAATAAAAAACAAAGAAAATGCAATATATTTTCAATAATTCATTGCATTTTCCCCCGGTCCCCAACATAAAAAAAAAAAAATCATCTCTAGGGCAATGCATTATGGGTCAAGGCATGCCCACATAGAGGATTTTTTTTTCTTAAAAAATTATTCCACCATTATGACCAACAGTGTAGAAGAAAGCTCATGATAGTCTAAGTATATATATCGATGGCATACCATCCACCATAATGTTACATTACTGTACATAAGTATTCCTTCAATTGAAGATGTTAATATTACCATTCACTTTATTCAACCTGTCCTGTCACATCACCATAATAAAAATCTAACGCACTACCTCTCGGATCTAAAAGCGTGTTTAAAAGCACTTATCCTATAAATAGTATTTCGCATGTACTTTGCAATCATTTTTCGTCATGAGTCAAAAGCACGCTCATATCAATATGATGGGCTGACCATGATGACAAGAAGCATGAACCATGTAAATAGACTGGACTTAATTGGGATAAAGATATATATTCATACAAAAGTGTGTTTTCAAACATGTTCTGTTCTGTCACATCACCAGATCGAGGAGCTAAGCCACTGGCACGCGGATCTAGGTTCTGCTGCATCCTCTCATTACGCGAGAGGTCTCTGCTCCATGCCAAATCTTCGATCACTGTATATGTACAGTGCTATGAAGCTGAGTGATGAGTTCTACTCAACGATGGCCACTGAGGCATCAAAATCAAATGTATACCCAAACACGATTTGTATTAGAAACAATTCCCCAATAGTTTGCATTCTTCAAACTGATTATGTGGATGAATGTTTTCACATTAAAAATAAAATAGAAATCCATTTATTTTCATTAGTTACGAGTACTTTCGTATCAATGCTATAGTTCGGCCAAGCTATCAAGGAAATAAATGATGTAAATAGAATGAACGTTGGTGACATAATGAAATAGATTCATATAAAAGTGTGTTTTCAAAACAAGTATACTATAAATAGTTTTTCGCATAAAAAAAAAGAAATTATTTATATTTTGTGAATAGTTTCAATGAGATACCAAATGCACACTATATATAAACAAATAACACATTTGTATTCTGCATGAACAGACACGGTCTCTCCTTTACAACTATTTATAATTAATCACATTTGTGTTACCCATCTCGTCTTTCTGTGCTCTTACCACATCCATTTTCCTTGTCAGCTTGGCCAAACTATAGCAATGTAACTATTGTACGTTAATAGCCCGGCTCTCTCTGTCTCTCTCTTTTCCCCTCTCTTTCCCCTCTCTCTGTTTTTCTTGCTTTAAAAGTCTTAGTATAGATTGATGATGTTAAATTAATGACAATGGAAAATATTGACATTATACTTCAAAATACTATTCACTCTATTCAACCTGTTCTGTCACATCACCAGATTGAGAAGCTAAGCCACTGGCATGCGGATCTGGGTTCTGCTGCATCCTCTCATTACGCGAGAGGTCTCTGCTTCATGCCAAAACTTCGATCATTGACGCTGGGCAGTTTGAAGCTGAGTGATGAGTTCTACTCAACGATGGTCACTGAGGCATCAAACTCAAAGGTACACCCAAACACGATTTGAATTGGAAACAATCCCCCCCCAATAGTTTTGCTTTTTTCAAACTCAACTTTTGAGGTAACTGTTTTTCACATTAAATAAAAAATTAAATCATATATTTTCATTAGTCACGAGTACTCTCATATCAACATAAGACATAGTTTGGCCAAGCTGACAAAGAAATAAATCATGTGAGTAGAATTACCCGTAGTGACATAATTACAAAGATTTATATAAAAGTGTGTGATAAAGACACGTATACTGTAGAAAGGTTTTCGCATTAAAAAAAAAGAAATTATCTATATTTCGTATTCTGCTTGAACAAACACGGTCTCTTCTTTACAATTATTTATAATTAATCACATTTGTCTCACTCCATCTCGTCTTTCCTTGCTCTTACCACACCCATTTCCCTTGTACTTTTAACCCGTCTCTCTATCTCCCCCTCTCTCTCTTTGTCCTTGGCACTCTCTCTCTTTTCTCTCTCTTTCCTCTATATCTTTTTCCTCTATTTTTCATTCTCTTGCTTTAAATGTCTTGGTATAGGTTAATGATGTTACATTAATGCAAAGGAAAAGTATTTAAAGTACACATGTCGTCTATACTTGATATTACTATTCACTCTATTCAAAATGTCTTGTCATCACCAGATTGAGGAGCTAAACCACTGGTCCGCCACTCTGGGTTCTGCTGCATCCTCTCATTACGTGAGAGGTCTCTGCTCCATGCCAAATCTTCGATCACTGGGTCTGTACATCATGGAGCTGAGTGATAACTTCTACTCGACGATGGCCACTGAGGCATCAAAATCAAATGTATACCCAAAAACGATTTGTATTAGAAACAATTTTTTGCCCAATAGTTTTGCATTCTTCAAACTGAATATATGGGAAATTGTTATTCACATTAAACAAGGATAGAAATCATTTATCTTCATTAGTTACGAGTACTCTCATATTAATGCTATAGTTTGGCCAAGCTGACAAGGAAAGAAATAGAATGAACTTTGGTGACATAATAAAATAGATTCATATAAAAGTGTGTTTTCAAAACACGTATACTATTTATAGTTTTTCTCATTTTTAAAAAGAAATTATTTATATTTTGTAAATAGTCTCGATAAAATATCACATGTACATTGTAGATACAAAAATAACATATGTTGTATTCTGCTTGAACGGACACGGTCTCTCCTTTACAACTATTTATAATTAATCACATTTGTCTCACTCCATCTCGTCTTTCTGTGCTCTTACCAAATCCATTTCCCTTGTGATTTTAGCCCGTCTCTCTATCTCTATCTCTCTCTTTCCTCCTTTTCTCTTTCTCTTGCTTTAAAAGTCAAAGTATAGGTTAATGATGTTACATTAATGACAATGAAAAATATTGAAATCAGACATGTCGTCTATACTTTATAATACTCTTCTCTCGTTTAAAACTTTCCTGTCCCATCATCAGATTGAGAAGGTAAACCACTGGCACGCAGACCTGGGTTCTCATGCATCCTTTCATTACGCGAGAGGTCTCTTCTCTATGCCAAATCTTCGTTCACTGGATCTAAGCACTGTGAAGCTGAAAGATGAATTCTACTCGACGATGGCCACTGAGGCATCAAAATTAAAGGTATACCCAATATTGCAAACAACTTTTCTTTTTCAACTTACTTTGCATTTTTCAAGCTCAACATATGGGTTAACGCCCCCTTCACATGTCCTTACGGATCGCCAACTTGTAGTAAATCGCAGGCATCCGTAATTAACTCGCTGGTATCCGTGAATAACTCGTTGCAAATCGCAACAACTCACAGAAAGGAGAGGCTAATTTTTAGACGTGTCAAAAATCTTCTTACGATTGTCCACGGATTGATTTTTCCGTAAATAACTCGTAACAATCAGTAAGTATCGTAGACCGCTCGCAACAACCACCAGTAAACTGCTCACAAGAATCCGTAAATGACTTGTAACGATTTTGAAACGATTTGTTACGGTTAGTTTACGATTTGTATAATACCCCCTTCACATACACATTTTATAAAAATTCACAGATCTTTCACGAATTCTTACGATTTGGCGATTTGGCGATTTGGTGAGTTGCCTCAAAGAGGCACTCGTAATAATTCGCGAACAGCTCTTCTTGTAACTCGGGATAAATCGCCACAACTCGAGGCTTCAACTCGGCTAAGTGGGAGCCCTGCTTAAGAAAAATCTGTGTATGTGAAGGGGCTGTTATGGATTATTTACGGATTGCTTTCGTGTTGTTTACGATTTCAATCGGGTCGTGTTACGATGGCTTTACGAATTGTTATGAGTTATAACGAGCACTTTACGTTGAGTTACGAGTACTTTACCAATATATACGTATACATTACGTATTCTTATATATTGTTTACGATTTGGGGAAAGGTATATAAGCTGCAAAATCGTAAGGACTGGTAAATAATCGTAACTATTCATAACAACACGTAAAGAGGTCGTAACAAACACGTAAAAGCTTCAATGAATAGTAAGATTATGTAATATACTCGTAACAATCATTAAAAAGCTCGTAAAATGCCCTTAAGTTGCTCGTAGTTATCCGTGATAACTCGTAACAAATTGTGGAACTATGCCAAAATACATTATAGTAACTCGTAATAACTCGTAATAAACCGTAAATAGCTCGTAATATCTCGTAACAGCTCTTAAATTGGTCGTGGAAGTGGCTAAATTGTAAGGCTCTGTGAATTTGTGCGATCTGTAAGGACTCGTAAGCAAAACCTATGAATGTGAAGGGGGCATAACTGTATTTTCACATTTATTTTTGGAAAGAAATCATTTATTTTCATTTAATAGTCTCGAGCACTCTCATATCAATGTAATAAATAGTTTCGCCATGCTGACGAGGAAATAAATTATGTGAATTGAATGGATTTTGGTGGCATAATGAAATAGATTGAAATACATGTATAAGCGTATTGTAAAAATCACGTATCCCACAAATAGTATTGCGCATTTTTAAAAGATTGTTATTATTTATATTTTGTAAAGAGTCTCAATAAGAGATCACATGTACACTGTTGATAACAAGATAACATGTATATATTTTTCTTGAACAGACATGGTCTCTCCTTTAAAATTAATCATACATCGTCACATTTGTCTTACTCCATCTCGTCTTTCTGTGCTTTTACCACACCCACTTCCCTTGTACGTTTAGCCCGTCTCTCTATCTTTATCTCTCTGTCTCTTTGTGTATATCGGTTTCACTCTGTCTCTCCCTGTCTCTCTCTCTCTCTTCCTCTCTCCCCTCCCTTTTCCTTTCTCTTGCATTAAAAGTCTGAAGAGAGGTCAATGATGCCAAATTAATGACTATAACAAATATTATTGAAATCAGACGTGTCGTCTAAACTTGATAATACTATTCACTCTATTCAACCTGTTCCGTCACATCACCAGATTGAGGAGCTAGAGCACTCGAACGCGGATCTCGGTCCTGCTGCATCCTCTCATTACGCGAGAGGTCTCTGCTTCATGCCGAATCTTCGTTCACTGAAACTGTTCGATGTGAAGCTGAGTGATAAGTTCTACTCGACCATTGCCTCTGAGGCTTCAATATCACAGGTATACCAAACAGGATTTGTATTGGAAAAGATTTGTTTCCAAATAGTTTTGCATTCTTCAAACTCAACTTTGGGGTAACTGTTCTTTGTAACACTTTTAAAAAAGAAATCTTTAATTTTCATTAATTACGAGCACTCTCTTATCAATGTTAAGAATAGCTTGGCTATGCTGACAACAAGGACAATTAATCATGTGAATAGAATGAGTGTCATAATGATATACATGCATCTAAATGTTTTAAAAGGGACATCCTGTAGATTCCGGCTGGTATTCCGCGTTCTTTAAATATCATTTATTGTCAAAATAAGATATTTCATGCACAATATAGATAGAAAGATACAACATTTATATTTGCTTGACAAGACATAATCTCCTTTTCAACTTTTTAAGAAATTTGTTGTCTTTTTTCATCTCGTCTTTATTTTGCTCTTACCACAGCAATGTCCTTTAGATTACTTTTTCTCTGTCCCTCTCTGTCTCTTTCTCTCCTATCTCTCTTGTATTGGAAACGATTTCCTTCACATATATATATATATATATTGCATTCTCCAAACTAAACATAACGCTATTTTGCAATTTATTCCTCGAACTAATGTTTGGTCATTAGTAAAAAAAAAAACGCTCATTATAAAACACTAGTCTGACCATGCTGAAAATCAGGAAAACGAATCATTTGATTTGAATGGAATTCAGTGTCATGATTATATAAATTCAATCGATTATCACTTTCAGTCATTTGAGTCGTTTAATAATTTTCCTTTGGAACTGCAGATATTCGTTCTTGTGATGACAGTTTTATTCTTCAATGGTCAAAGTGAAATCGGTTATAATGCAAAGACAAACACATCTTTAAAAACAAATATTAATGTGAATATAGAAATGCATATCCTTTCGACAGGGGCGTCGTGACCGGGGACAGGTTTTGGTACATCATCTCACAATTTGCGAAATTGGGACATGTGCCCTTTCTTCACCCGTTTGGAGAAAAAAATACCCAAAACAGAAAGAACAGCAAAATAACAGATTTACTTAAAAAAATATATTTAAAAAAGTTAGAAATAAAAACATAAATACCTTTTCAGTAGGTCTGTATGTCTGCTTTGTGTTCTGCATTTCGTCATTAAAGTTTCTCAACAAATATAATCAAGCCAGCTATGCCTTTTGTGAGGGATGCTTGATGCCAGCCCCTCTCTTACTGTGACAGAAATGCCCCTCCCCCATCAGAAAAAATGACACTCCTGATCTAAAACTTCTTTTCTTCAGCTTATGTGAAATTAAGTAATTAAATTATTAATGCATACATTTGTTATGGTAAACATCATTTATTTCTCTGTATTTTGATGCGCTTGGACAGACTTCCGTCATTTAATTGTAAACGAAAAGTACCAGTATAAGTAATCGATCCGAACTAAAGTTTGTTAGGAATATGAGAGAAGTTCTTTTTAATGTATTAGGATGGAGTGCGTCTCTCTATAACTCAACTTTTTTCCTATGTAGCTTTTACTTTTTGCTCTTGTCCTCCCATCTATTTCTTACATATGCTTCTCCATTCTCTCTCTCTCTCTCTCTCTCTCTCAAGCTGGCTGTCTTTCACTTTCTCAGTCCCTGTCAAAGTTTTTCTCGTAGACTATTTTCATGTATTTATCACTTATTGATCTTTCTTGGCAATTTCCTATATCTCTATCTCATCAGATAGAGATATTAGAATGTTTGCCCTTTTCTAAAAAGTATTAATAAGTAAGACCCGTACTCATTAAAGGTGAATGATGCCACCTTCTCACTAAATGTAAACATGGAATGAATCTTAACTAAACAATTTTTTGGGTTCAAACACACATGTATTACATGAATTGTGATATTGTTGTCATTACTGACTCTATACGGATGGCTATTCTTTACTATCGGTTCGATTACAATAGGCCTTCTATTAATAACCAATCATGATACCTTCGTGTTTATTTCTTCGATTTATAGATAAAGGTAATTAATCTATAACAATTAATCAACACAAATAATCAAATGAAAAATTCCTCAACTAATAGTTTGTAACAGCATCTTATTTACAAACTAATAAATGTCTGTACATACAATAAAGATATTAAAAATGCGAATGGTATTTCTCGAATAATCCGCTTGGTATGAGGATACCTATTAATTTGCATACTTGTATACATATATAATTACATATATGTGTGTGTATTTTTTTTATTATTTTGTTTGGTTGCTGTTATCTGTTTTTATTGATGATTGTTATTGAATAGCCTTGTTACCAAAGAGGGCCTCGTGGAAGACCACCATGATTGGTTAAACGTTTCACCCTGTATAAATATCAAAAATAAGTAAATAGATGAAATAAGATTAATAATTTCTTTTCATACCATGAATATTTTGATTATAATGTTCTTTTCGTGTACAACGCATTAAGAACCGATTAATGTGATAACTGAATGATTTTAACTGATGTTAACCGTAGTCCACTTGTTATCATGTAACAACTATTGCCAGATGAAATAAGCATACTGAAAACAAAGGGGAAAAGTATAACATACTCTCTTGAAGATATCATTTTGATGGTGTGTGATCCCAATGATACAATACCTTAAGTACCTATATTGAAGAAAATATGTCATGCACATTAAAATGCTTATTTGTTTATTATAACATGTTGATTCATTTGAACTATAGCAGAAATAGATACGAAATAATCAGACTTAGTGAATGATAAAGTTACTGAGATGCAGATTCATCTGATATTTGCTTTGATTTAAAAAGGTGTTTATTCACTTTGGTGTGAACTGATAAAATTGTCTTTGTACAGATCCAGACGCTGAGTATGGGGTTAGTTTCCATAACTCCGTGTCAACTACGCTCCATTCTCTCGCTACCAAGCCTCCAGTCACTCAGCTTGACGGATATCAGATCAGTTGACATGGACGATGGAGAGACACTGGTATGTATTTCTATTCCAAGGTTGAAGTCAAAATCCTCTTTTGTTCCAAGGTCAAAAGAAAGGGGTTCAGAAAAACTAAACAGACTAAATATGAAAGCTAAAGGAATCGCCGAAAGAATAACATATTTTTTCTTGAAATCAAGTTAACAACGACATACTACGGGGTTAGTAAATATTTATTAAATCTTGTACAGATATAAAATATCTATACATTCACTGTAATAAGTTTCTCAATTTGGGATGAAGTGTAACCATGCATATTTTCTTAAAACTCGTTAAAAAACGATTGATGAATGATTGCCGCTTGCTATTTTCTAAAGAGATTTTTGTTGATTATGTTTTCATCATTAAACGTTAAACTTTCAACAATGTGAAATCATTTAAATGATTTGATTTAGTCTGGCTGAACGAACATCACAATACAAAAAGATGATAATGAGTAGTAAAAGGTCATCTTCCACTGAAAAGGAGGACCCTCGTTAGTTAATTGACTTTGGTCATGTTGGTGGAAAAGGACAAAATTAAGAAACATTTTTAGAAGGTTTCAGAAACAGCTGGAAAAGAATACACGTTATGAAATAGTGAACGTCGATAATGCTAATGATGTGGAAAAAAAAACTTGTATCGGCAATGCAGTCATGATGTGTTATGTCATACAGGGGGTAATCCACTAATTGTTTTGTATCCAAAATACCGTTAACACCTTTTCTAGAGTCTTTTGATAGACAAACCTTTTTGTAAAGGAAGGGCAGTATACGTTTATGCCTAATGTCCAAAACCTCGTGAGTCTTCTCATTCTATAATATATCCCAAGTTGGCCACCCAATATTCCAATGTGCATCTCTTTTTTATCTTCATAAAACATTAACCACATACATCTGTGAATTTTGATGTACACCCCTCTTTCTTTTTTCTTCTTTCTCTCTCTCTCTCTCTCTCTCTCCTTCCCCTTTAACCAATATTTGTTCCACCATTTTCGTATTATTATGTATCCATTGAGGGTAGTCATGCTATCAAGCTTTGCTTACTTTGTAAACCCTCCTGTTTGATGTTTTCGATAAGTAACTTTATTCGACATTATATTCTTTTGAAATGTGTAAAATTTGCAATATTTTGTTTGTTATATATTTGTAAAAATGCAAAAGAAAAATAGAATAAAACAGAAATAAATAAATCAAATCAAATTAATTCAAACATAATCTGCTGGATCACTAAATTGGAAAACATAGAGGTATTTGTATTATTTTGGAAAAGTTAATCGGTTATAGTTGATCCGGAATGGCATCTTACATGCCTGTAATGTTAATGGAACAAACTCTAAATCATTCACAATCTCGGCATCCAAAAGTTTTAAAATGTTGTATTCTTTGTCCCATTTCCCAAAAAAATACGCGTTTCTTTATTTCTTCTTACTTTAAACTGATGAAAACCCTCTAGTATTATCATTATATATTTGTAGAATATTTACCAAGCATGAACTGAACAGTAAAAGTACTATATTAAAATCATAATGAGTCAGTTTATCTAATATAATTTCTTACATTGACGTTGGTTTCCATTCATTATTCACCGCTGTTTCATGTAGAATCGTCAAATAACCTCAGTAGATGAGCTATCTGTGGACGGTAAGCATGTGACCAGTCTGTGGAATCTTGGACTTCATACATCATGTCCCCGAGTGAAAACTCTGAAACTTTTCTGGTCAAGACGGAGAAATGTCTCATCACATATCGTAACATCAGATATCGTCACAACGGCCTGCTGTCCATTCCATAATCTAACTCACCTTCACATCCAGGCACTCCAGCCTTATAAATCATGTACTATACTGGATGATCCCGTATCGTTCTGCAAGGCGGTTAAAACATCATGTCCTCGGCTCACCAAGCTGTCCCTTACCTGCATTGACCTGTACACCAAGAAGGCAGCTGAGATCATCCAACTCATGAAGACTCATCCTCACCTGACAAGCATAGAGTGAGTCTCATTTTGATTTACCAGGGTAATGATTGCCACATAATAATCAAAATCTTCGAAATTTTCATGTACAACACATCTTCGTGTTCTTTACCATTCTCTCTCTCCCCTCTCTCTCCCCCCCCTCTCTCTCTCTATCTCTCTCAGTCCCTTTCTATCCCACTTTTGAGAACTAGGAATCCATGTGATACTCTAAGTAACATAATATCGGTTTGAGAAAATTCCGTAATATGAACAAAGAATTATTGTCTTATGAAAAATATGCATTTAAATACTTAATTCAAAGGGTTTTAGCTCTTCAAGGGATGTTTTAAGGTCAGTTAACACAATAAAACAAAAATTAAGAGACAATATCAAACTGTTAAAAATTCATATTTTCATCTCAAAATATTTGTAAATAACCAATGTGAACAAATCAAGTGTTCAATGAAATATTTTCAATGTCAACAAAACGATGGAAATGTTTTAAAATCAACATTAGGATTAATGTTTGCAAAATATGCAAAAAGCTTTCAGCAGAGAGATGTCAAAATTCATATTTTTATCATAATCTGCCTTCCAAGATCCCAGGTAAATCAATTCAAATAATATCATGGATATTGGCATTGTCCCACCGAACAGGATGAATACATTTCAAGATGGGTTGGAGCAGTACTTTATGCATAGTATGCAAATTAAGTATTCATTTCTTGGTATTAAAATGGAAAGTTTTAATTCTACTTTATATTTCCATATAATCATGATAGCTCAATATTTGTAATGTAAATCAGAAAACTATTCCACCATGTCTAGAGACCCGTAATACGTTAATTGTTATAAGAGTGTACTTGGATGCAATATAATACAAACATATATTTACAAAACATTTTAATGGTGGAAGCTATGAAATAATATTAATATGTCATTTCCTTTTTGATGAACGCTCATTTGCATATTGTTGTGATAAATTGTGTTAAGTCTGTACACGAACATCTAGACCATTGGATTATTTACAACGATATTAAGATGAACATATTTAAATTTTAATTTCTTCCATACCTTTAGATATAGAATTTATGCTTACATGGTGTTGGTACAACCTAGATACCTGATTCTAAATATGTTTTATCTTATAAGCATTATAAGCATGATCAGAGGAAAACTATCGTTAATTTAACACACTTGAATTTGTTATCAAAAGGAGTTCGACTAGGACAACACTTTGCTCCACAAGCCACCTACCGTTATTACTGGTTAATTAGTTTGGGGTAGTTGCATTTAGGTTTTGAATGCAGGGAGCTTTATAGGTTTTTTTAAACAATGGTTTACATGATCTGATGATCTCTTCATTTCAGGATTTATTCATACCAATTTAATTTAATTAAGGGCATAAAGGCGATCGGCTTGTAAAAGTCATGAGATTCCTGAGTGACTGAACTAAAGGTTCATAATTATGATTGCATCATGAGCTAAATCCAGGATTTTGTTTCAGAATCTGAGGCAATGTTACCGAGTCACTTTAAGATAAATTTAAATTCAATACTTTATTTATTTTATTCATCATGATGTTCATAGACCTGCTGTATCCTACATGCACAGTTATGATACCATGGTTTGCAGTCATGCAATCTAAATACAGAGCAAAATTATGCAAGGTCCGATGTGTAATAAATTGTCATCTATTCTCACATCATATAGCATACATCTCTGATGGTATCGTACTTCAGGTTAGTTCAGAAGATAATGTATTCCCCCCACCCGAAATATACTTTTTTAAATTCTTATTACTATAGGTTGGATTTGTGTCGTACGAGCGCGGATCTGGATCCACTGATTTCTGAGGTAAACAGTGAAGGCAAGCTGACTGTCACCGTGAAGCATGGTGTGGTAAGATATACCAATGGGTTACATGCCCATCCTCCGACTGATTCTTCTCCCTCTTTCATTCCATCGATTCAAAGTAGGCTATTTGTTATTATCCACATTTAACTCCGCCCTATCGGTACCCAAGAATAACCAATACCAATAATTTAAGCTGTCCTTAATATGTTAATTCCGGTCTGATTCAAATGATCACTTCTAGCAAAAGCTTTGTTCTTGATCTGTGTAATGATATCCGGAAACTGAAATATAACAACACAGAAAAAAAGGCTTTTCACAACTATATGACATTTTTTTTTAGTTAAAGAGTACTTTTTCTTCGTTTACATGATGTAGCCTATAAGGAGAAAACGCTCATTGTACTTCGTCTTCTTGTTTTAAAAGCGATATGACCTTAAAACCTGATGAAAGGAAGACAAATTTCCGTTATACTAGCTATAGCTCTACTGAAAGAAATGAGTCAAATGATCATATAGCATGCATCTCAGCAAATTAAAATGATGATATGAGTGAGTCAAATTAGAACCATGGCGAAAAGTAGAATGGTAAAACATGCTTCTTAAAATACTGCAATATCCATGAGTTTGAATATAGGATATATATTGGAGAGAAATTCCAACTAAAGTCGCACTGCTCTACCTTAACAAACATAAACTACACTTTAATCGCACAATGGCAAAAAGTAGATGCATAAAACATACTGCTTACAATATAGCATGAGTTTGAACATACGAGTGTATATTGGAAAGAAGTTCCTTCGAATCACACTGTTTTTTTCAAAACATGTTAAAGATAAATAATGTTGTTTGTGGCCTGCATTTTTCAATCAAACTGCTTTTATCATTGTACTCTTAATTCTGCAATAGAAACAACAACAAATATGATTTCATGAAGAAATTATGACATTAAGATGGTACGGAGTGTAGGCATATATGTTTCAAATCTTCCCTGCCTGAAACGTAAGGCTGGTAGTACATTTCTGAACAAAAGTATTTCATCAATGTAAAATTGCTTGCAAATAGTAGTCAAATTTAAATCTAATTTTGGTTTTACCAAATGATATCCTAGCATTGCACATCAATTTCTCTCTTCTTCGAATGAAAACATGTGAATGAATACATCGCCTTAGTGATTGAAATTTAAAGGTTAACATAAATAAAAAAAAAAACCTATATAAATGGTTGTGAACTATTTACCCGATAGATATCTGACCTACATCAATTTCAATCTCTGAAACTTTTTTTTAAACTTATAATTTATTTTAAGAATGTCCCTTTTGTTATGAATAGTAGCTGCCCAAAGATGATTTTCTAAACATGCAAAACTCGACTTGATTTATATGTACTCCTTTCAATCCTATCATAAATGAAACCTTCTCTCTCTCCCCGCTCATCTCTGTCCCTTCTCTTTCTATGCTATTTGTTTAAATCTTGCTTCCTTCCTGACCTAATTTTCATGCATAGCTTCAATTTGTATGTATTCTTATTTTCATTTCCGAGAGGACGTAACTTTAAGCTTATGCTTAAGATTACCCATTTTATGTACATACCGTGTCATTATCATACATCTTAAGTTATAAGATTGTAAATATAAATATGTTGATTTATATGGAATAAATAAACATCTTATGAAATCGAATCAAACTATGATTATTATTTTAAAAAAAATAGAATACACCTCTCTCAAATTCAACTGCCAAAATGTATTGCTTATTTGAAAGGAACTTCATTTTTTAGAAAACCATCATTATATTTATATTATTTCTGGTATTCTTATGTTTCCATAATTATAGTGGAAGGATAGTGCAACGGTTATGTAATATGTGGTTTGGCCGTCAAGCAACAACGTATCAACGTTGGAAGATGATCCTCATCAGACCACGTGATGGCAGCAGACTACTACGGACTTCAAAAAATAACTTGTCAAGTGAGGCGGTAACCAGGCTACCCGAATAACTAACTGAAGGATATCTAAAGTTAAAATGCATGGAATATAGTATCATAAACATTAGAATACTTATGCCCTGTCTTGATACTTACATATACTAAAGCCAGAAACCTATTTCAATCACACTTGAAGCTTCAAGGTAAGCAAAAGTTTGACGGCTTGTGAACCCTTACCATTTAACATAATCATAAAAAGGGGTTTCCTAGCGACCATAAGTTGGGTTGCAATGTTAAAACAATCTTTTCCAATATAAACTAGAGCCTACAATATACAGGCTACACTCAGCAAACATGCTTTTACTTAGGCTTCTTCATTTCTTCTTCAGTTACAAGGAACAACAAACTACAAACAAATACAATTTATGTGAACTTATTTGTATCCAAAAAGAAATTGTATTGTTACTATCATTAGATTCCTGGTAAGTAGAACTGACAATGCAGAAGGTGAAATGTGAAATATTAAATGAATCGAACAGAAGCGATCTGATTTGAACAAATCTAAAATCTCAATAGATTGTTTGATAAACAATCCAACCGTTTGTGTACTCATATTTGATACACTGTCATAATGATATCACATTTATATCGCATTGTACTATCATAACAAGTTCATCAGGAATCTAATCCGTAAGGATCTGTTGATATATCCTTCATCTCGGTGATACATGTATTCTGTAAGAATTTCCGGTATACCACCCTGAGGATTTATTTCATGAACTACGGGTAACGTAATTTGTTTCGACTATTCCTGTTTAATTATTCATCCATTATCAAGAAAGATTGTTGAACAATACCATGTGTAGAATGTATATACTCGATCTAGACAAGCTTTAGACTTATTTCTGTCCAATCCAATCATTACTTGTTTTTTTAGATTAAAATATTGAACATATTTGTTCCCTAAATGTAATCGTCATAGCCAAGAAGTGAACATACTCATTTCTTGATAAGATGTACAAAAGCATGATAAATTATTTAATATGTATATGTGTGTAAATATATCATAATCATTATACATTGTATCATATATTTGTTTAGAATTATGCTTTTTGTTTTGTTTTGCTCTTCAGTCAAATGGAAAAAGAACATCCATGCACATTGAATTTAAATATTGTGTCATTACATCATTTCCCAGAATGGAGACATCTAACTAATCTTACTCCTAACTTTGATGTGATCTATTCTAGTTTGTGACATGTATCAATTTATACTCTATTGTACATTTATTTCCATTTATGTCTCTACTGTAATGATGGTTTTCGTTAATGCCTGTGTGGTAATGATTTTGTCATTTGATGTGCTGTACACCTGAACAACAGAAAGTGATAAGTTGAGTCTTGCAATGTGCGTTACGTTGTGAGAGATGTATTTCTTTCTGTTTGAGATGTATTGACAAAACATTGCTTTTATTACAGGCTCATTGATTGCCTTGAGTAATTCTGAAATCATATGAGAAATGATGAATTTATCTTTGTTATATTTCCAATGTTCAAGGATTTACAGGACTGCTGTAACGTGATATTTGATAGTGGAAACAAAGAATACTTATGAATATGGAAGCAGTATAGGACTTACAGAATATGAATTTGGTTTGTTTGTAAGAACAACAAATGTTTGTGACTATCTCATCAATAATTGTAGAGACAACAATTTCGTATATTTATCTAAGCAGTAAGAATGTCATTTGCTTTAAATGATTATTTTATCATATGATAAGCAACTTATTTGGTTATGTCGTAGACATTATAGATCCGTGGCTATATGGCCTTTTTATGTTTGTTGAAGTTGTGATGATTTGTTTATCAAGTATAAACAAAAAATGCTGTTAAGGTCTTTGTAAAAATATTTTGAGTGTTTGTGTGGAGCTAGCTGTTCTAAGATGTAATCGATTGTCAGCTCCAGGAGGACAACAGTTATGCTTGTTTTATATGTACGGCATGAAAGATGTATATTATTAATCCAAATACATTGTCATTATTCATATAATTATTCTTATTTTGTATATTGTGAGATTAATCAGCAAGAAGAGAATTTCATCTACAATGAAAATACGAAGTTTCATCGTTAAGATATTAATAATTTCGTGAACCAACCGTGACCCAAGACATCGAATGGTAACAAATGATATCCATTAACAAAAATCACTCAAGTGAAATTTCCCCAAAATGCAGACATTTCAAGACATAACATATTATTAGTGGTTTCTTTTTTCTCATAAGCCTAGGAAATTGTAAGTTGAAGAAAATATAATCCCTTCGACTTTTACCAACACTGATTTTGTGTGAGAGTTGTGTATTGTGTTTATTGTACGTGTGTACATAATAATAAATATACGCACTTTCAGGGAATTACAAACAGATTATATGTCTTTGTACATTTGTATAAAAGAGAATGATCGATCTATAACCGATTGAACTCATGGGATCCAAAATGTTTTTGTTGTTGAAAGATGGTAGAAGGGGATATATCTCAAGAAATTGAATAAAATAATTATGAAAGCCATTTACATTTTGAATATCGCCTCAGAGCTTTATTTACGTAAACTGAAATAAGTCGGATAAGAGGTGAGCGACATGAATAAAGACGGAGGGTAAAACACTTTTTACAGAAAAGAAGAAATGATTGGATTGGAAAGTGTATATGAAAGAGAGAAAAAGCGTGGTGTAAGTAGACGCTGACAGATGGAGACGGACACAGAGAGAGAAAGCAAGGGAATTACGAGAAAGAAAGCGAAAGCAAGGAAATTAAGAGAAAGAGAGAGAGCGAGAGAGAGAGAGATATATAAATATATAGGAATGAAATGCATACGAAAGCAAGAAAACACATAATTACGCAAAACAGTTTTAATGATCACTCCACATTTCAGAGACTTACCACTCAGAAATGCATGATGCAGATTAAAACGCTTCACCATCATAAACATCAACATAAACCTGTCAATTATATACATGAGTCCAGAAGAAGATCATGAGGTATAGAGAGAAAGCTTGACAAAACAATACAGGAGACACACAGCAAAAGCTACATACGATCGAGTCGTAATTACCACATCATTAATTCTTCCTACATAAAATTATATATGCCTTCCAAGTATGGAAAACCCACATCCGTTTGTTCGGGGACCATTAATCCCCCTTCCCCCTTTCTCTCTCTCTCTCTCTCTCTCTCTCTCTCAATCTCTCTCTCTCTCTCTCTCACTCTCTCTCTCTATCTCAATCTCCCTCTCTCTCTCTCCCTCTGTCTCTCTCCCTCTCTCTCTCTCAATCTCTCTCTCTCTCTCTCACGCGCGCGCGCTTTCCCCCCTCTCTCTCTCTCTCTATATATATGTATGATGTATGCATATACCACCTTAGCTTATCATTTTTTGTTTTGATGCCTCTGATTATCATGATAAAGCACTTTTAGACCGAGGAACAACATATCTTAGATGTGTGTCGAAAGGAGTGTGAAAACAAGTTACTATTCAATTCATTTATTTATCCTCGTTCAATTTTTCATATTCACAATGATGGTAATTTTTACATATCAACATACATATAGATCAATTTGCACAATACAATAGGCCTACATAAAAAAAAAAAAAAATTGAACTGTAAGAAAACGTTGCAATCGATTTGTTATGGCCTGCAAAGGCATTTCCAAACCACTCGCAATCTTGATATTGTGAAAGGTACTGAGTTTAAAGGTTCCAACAAGATCTTCAAAGCCTTTCTAGAAAAGTTGAAGAAAAGTGGAAAGGGTAACGTCAAACGACACCCGCCGGTGAGCCCAATTAACATGCAACGCATATAAGAAAGCCTGGATTTGAATACTGCCGAAGGGTTACAGCGGAAAGTCTTTATTGATATTATGATTTATTTTGCCAATCGTGGCCCAGAGAATGTCAGAGAAATGACACTAGATGATTTTGAGCTGCACACGGAGGAAAACGATCGCCGCCATTTTTCAGTGAGCGATAAACTGACCCAAAATCACTTTGACGATGATTAGCAGTCACAAACTGTACTCATATTTGAGATTCCAGGTCACCCAAGATGCCCAGTGAGTAATTTGATCAAGTACAAGAGTAAGTTGCACCCTCTTTGTCCATGGATGTGGCAAAGACCAAGATCCAAGGTCAATGAAGATGATCCCGAGTGGTATGTAAACATGCCAATAGGAGAAAAAAAATCAGCTGGGAGACTTTACCAAGATTAAATCTGCAAAAGCTGGATGTAGAAAGTACACAAACCACAGTAATTTCTAAGGGAAACGCTAATATGGTATTAAACTTGACCTTGGCTTGATTATTAGAAAGTCTCTGCATCCACGTTCAATGAAGGCGCTATTCGACTACCCTATAATGTGTGTATAAAGAATTCATTACACTGTACATATGACGCTGGATAGATTATTATGATAATTTAAGAATAACACTAACGTTCACTCGAAATAATTTTTCTTTGATGACAATAGTGCCTTCTATGGTCATTTAATGTGATGACACGTGGTGCTTATGCGCCCCTGTCGGCAGGGCTTGGCCAATATCCGGCGATAGCTGTATGCTCCCGAGTAAGCCAAAATCTCGCAAAACGAGAATTCACGAGAGTACGTACGTGTGGAACGGGGTTCTGCGCCTCGAACCTCATTAAGCCTAATTTGCATACGCTCTGCCGCGGACTGACTGCTTTTTAGCAATACCGATATGTTGATATTTGTGCTGAATATTCATAGTAAATATCATCATTCCTTGTTCACTAATCAAAACGAGTAATGAATTCTATTTAGTTCTAGATTGAGTGTAAATTTGCTCGCATAAAAATCCTCATGATAAAGTTCCCGTTTGGTGATACATCTATTATGTCGTGATAGATTGAACCCCCCGAACAAACTATACCACAGACCACGCAATAGAGTGTCAAATGTACAATTATCTTATATCATACACACTAATACGCGTGAACCCAAATTTCGATTGAAAAATAATGAATCGAAGAGCTGAGATAAACATGTCATTATTTTGTTTATGTTCTAACTGTTTCTTGGTTAATGTTTTAAAGATTAATTGTTTATGTATGACTTAAGCGTTCAATTGAAACAATAAAGAATATTGAAAAAAAAACATACCACACCACTCTAACGCTTAATACGGATATTACTCTAAGCGCTTTACATATTTTATTATTTACAAATTAATGAGCCTCTGCCAACTTTATACTTCAACATAATGGGGGGTGGGGTGGGGGGGGGGGAAGGGGCTACTACTATTTTATCTCTCATCCGATATTCTTTATTCGAGAATATTCTTCTTTTTGAAGTTTCATGATCTCTAGAGCTTTCTCGTAAATCATAATATCTTCATACAACGCTTCTCTTACTTCTGCACTATTAAGTAAGTCAATTTTCATTTGTTTTATTGTCGTATCTTCCTCTTTTACTCTAGCCCCGCCCGTGTTAAGGGGAACGGAATAATCAGCTGTAAAATTCATTTGATAAGCTTCTCCAAAGAGCTCTAGAGATACCCGATAGTCCTCCAACAATCCTATTACCGCGAACCAGTTCTCTAGGTTATCAAGGATATAGTGTAGAAGTGCACGACGCTGCTCATTTGTTAAGGCCTCTTTATGAAGAGCTTTTTGTCGAAACCAACACGTGTCCTCGTGCCGATGCACGTATTGGATGATATCTTTCGTGTGATCCTGATAGAGTTTTACGTACTCATCGGAACTGGAGTCATTCCTACAAGTGTCCGGGTGCACAAGAATTAGATTGAAGAAGTGACTGCCTTGATGAATCGCCCAAGCAGTGATGGACACGTCTTTGGGTCTCACTGGTCCGCACAGACGTGATGAGTATTTTGTAAAACAGAAGAAGTACGACGAAATGATCCTGTCATACGGATTACGAAGAACTGTCATGTATGAACAGGGCCTCTTATGCAATACATCACATATGCCAAAGCTGAAACCTCCACAGAAGAGTGTCGGCTTGGGTGTACGTCCCTTCTGGAGGAAGCGGTCAAATTCGCTGGTAGTTACACGGTTGGACATTTTAACTTCATTCATTCTTGCTTTTCGACGCACCTTCCTCAATACCGCCTTAGTTGTTGTCCCACCTGCTTTATGAAGGTGCACAAAAGCAATGTTGCACTTAGCGTAATCCTCTCCCATTCCAGATCTCAACCCATGAATGTAATAATTTGGCAAGCCCTTCCTATGCTGTGTAACATTGGCCAGTAGAGAAAATGTCGGACTGGCACTTTGGTCAGCCATGAGTTGGACCAATGTCCTGGTGTTCATAGTACGTTCGGCACGGTATTCATGCACACCTCCATGTTCTTCGGTTCTTCTCCCATCATTATTTCTGAAAGAAAAGAATAACAAGAAAAAAGGATGAAATGATACATGTACATGGCACATCATTATACACGGTCTTAAGATTATAATAATATATGTACCAGATTGTATAACATGATTGAGAACGTAACCGCAAATACTTGTTTGTGTTATAATTCTTTTGGGTGAAATGGCACCTTAGATGTAGAGACAGATTTCCGCTCTCTCTCTCTCTCTCTCTCTCTCTCTCTCTCCATCTCTCTCTCTCTCTCTCACACACACACTCTCTCTCTCTGTCTCTCTCTTAACTAGTTCATACGAATATAATGTATGCACAGTGTTTGTATTAAGACTATTTCTGTTTCTTTTTTCAATATCTTAGGTTATTCATTGTATTGCAGTGTACTGTATTGTTTTGTTGTTTGTTCGTTTTGTTTTGAAAAGGAAAGAACAAACTTACCCACTGACAGGCTCAGCCTCATACCAGCCGGACTCGGGAATGGGATTTACCGAAGACGTACTCACACCGCGTTGAAGCCAATTACCTGATCAAGCGTAATCATTGAGACTTAGATTAATGAATATGATATTATTTGATTCATTTCATTCATATGAACTTCATTTCATCATTCACCTTGTCTATTTATACAAATTGGGTCTATATTCATAAGGAAAGTACTTCTTTGCCTAAATCACATTGAGCATTTGCAGGCAGTTATCTAAAATTCCAGGTCTTTAAAATGGTAACTGTTACATAATCTCATTCAAGACGTGTTCTCTAATATCCTGACAGATTATTATCAATTAATAATAATTAGATTTATTTATAAAGCTCAGCTACTTTATAGATATAGTCCACTGCGCTATATGATGAAACCAAAACTCATAACAATGCTACCTTACAGACACACAATACACTTTACAGGGTCCTCATCTTTTTCACTTTTTGATAACAAATACTGCTGCATGAATGGGAAATTAGTACGTTTGGGGGGAGGGGGAATATTGCAGGTGATAACGGTTGAAGTAATTATAAGATGATGACGTGGATCCGAATCAAATTATTGTTTGAAAGTGTACACGTGACCAGACATTCATTTTGCCTAACGCGCAATTTGGATAATAACCAGTCATTATCTAATTCTAATGACCGGTCATTAGTAAAATCATGTTTAATATAAAACATCAATTTATGAAACAAATTAAAACATAATTTTATAAAACAAATAAAACATAATCTTATACAAAAAATAGTATACTTCATTTTGTTCAGGCATTAGTAAAATTAACCACACTCGGTACCTTCAAAACAGTCCAAACACCCTCGGCTACCGCTTAGGGCGTGTTAGACTGTTCGGAAGGTACCTTGTGTGGGTACTTCTTACTAATGCCCTCACTGCTGTGTATTATTCGTATACTACTATCCCGAATGTGTAAAGTTCGAACCTATCTAAGTAGATTAGGCCATTGTTTTATGAAGATAAGTTTAGTGGCGGAGGACGCTTCAAGCTATTTTGTTTGTTTTACTTTACAGGGGTCATGTCTTTATTCCCTGTGCATGGAGGTCATCCCAGTAAACGGAAAGCCTGCGAGACTGACAGCCCACGAGACCGACAGTCCACTACGAGGGAGGCAAAAACAAAGGAAATATAGAAATGAAGAATTTCCAAAATATCCTAGAGACTATGAGCCTATAAAGAGACCGACAAAACAAAGAAAAACATGTGGGAAGATAGTGGACTGTCGCTCTTGTGGACGTCGGTAAAGTTAACCCTCGTAGAACTTACCTTTTATCGAATAGACGAACACCATGAAGGCAATCGAGAGAAGCACAGATATGTTCAGCAGGTATTTTGAACTCCTCAACGCGGATTGGCATCTTCTTATCCAGCCCTGGCCATGTGTGACACCGAACTGATCCATCACGCTTCATACACCTGTTTAAGAGCAAATGTTGGATTCTATTAATAATAATAATTATTCTTGCTTATATAGCGCCTAACACTTACTTTATCAGAAGTCTCTAAGCGCTCTACAATAATGCAGCATAATTACCCTGGCTTTAGCAGTGCAGCTGTTACGCGCGCTGCGTTTCAAGGAATAAATTCCTATCAGGTACCCATTTACTTCACCTGGGTAGAGTGTGGCAAATCTAGATCAATGTCTTGCCAAAGGACATCAGTGCGGCGGCGAGACTCGATCCGCGGACCTTGTGATCGACAGTCCGGCGACGTATCCACTTCGTTGCACCGTTCTCGAAAATAATCCTCGTCTGAATTCAGTTCCCCCCCCCCTCTCCCGCGCGAAGCGCGGAAGCTTTTACGTTTCATTAAATCATTAGAGAAAGAAGACGATTCGTTGTACCGTTCTCGACTCTCAATCCTCATCTGAATTAAGTTGCCCCCCCTCCCGCGCAAAGCGCGGAAGCTTTTACCTTTCATTAAATCATTAGGGAAAGAAGGAGATTCGTTGTACCGTTCTCGAAAATAATCCTCGTCTGAATTCAGTTTACCCCCCCTCCCGCGCGAAGCGCGGAAGCTTTTACGTTTCATTAAATCATTAGAAAAAGAAGACGATTTGTATTACCATTCTCGGCTCTTATTCCTTGTCTGAATTCAGTCTCCCCTCTCCGCGAAGCACGGAAGCTTTGACGTTTCATTAAATTATTAGAAAAAAAAGAAGACGATTCGGGGGGGGGGGGGGGGGTAGTGAGCACATTTTTTTTGGGGGGGGTCCTCGAAAATTTAAAAAATTGCACCCCTCCTTGAGCGACAGGGGGGGGGGGCCCAAACCCCCAAAAAGGTAAAAAAATCACGTGTTTTTACATGATTTTTTTTCTCAGGGGGGGGGGTCCGGGCCCCCCCCCCCTGGATCCGCCACTGCTTGGATCCCTTGGCTGGGTCCCGCGGGCAGAGCCCCCGGAAGCTCAGGGGTTTTAGGCGTTTAATTACGCATTTTTTAAAACTTATTTTGTTGTGACACTGGCAATTAACTATTCTTTCTTTCTTGCTCTCTTTCTTTCTCTTTAATATTCTTTTTCAAAAAAGTGGAGGGGGGGGGGGGAGGGAGCTAGAGGCTCCCGATCTCCGCCGTTCCGCAGGCCCTGACATGTAGGCATCTCAAGAAGCATATTTCTTGCCTGGCTGTAAATTTAGGAATTCGTCATTTTACAACAAACGCATAAAAAGTATAATTTACTACAAAATGAGGAAAAATCTCTGAAATTATGTCATTTCAGCATTATGTGTTAACCACCGCTATGGAATTAGAAAAAAAACCACGTTTAAATTTTATTTCCCCGAGCGCCCTCCCGATCAGTACGCCAGTGCCCCGCTCCCCCCCCCCCCCCCCCCCTGAGCTACACTTTCTTGGCGGAAAAATCGCAACTGATCTCCCCTACCTTTCTTCTTTCTCTTTTTTTTTCTGTCCCTTTCTCTCCTCTTTCCCCTTCCCTTCCCTTCCTTCTCTCTCTTAGATTTGCTTTGGGGGGGGGGGGGGGGGGGGGGAGGCAAGGTCCTTTCGGCCCCACCCTTCTCCACACGTTGTTGGCGGGATTAACCGCAAGTGATCTATTTCCCCTTCTTTTCACCCTTTTTTTCCTTCTTCCTCTTTTTCGGTCCCTTTTAGCTCTCCTTTTTTCCTTTTTAGCGGGGGCGGGGGGAGGCAAGGGCTTTTTGCCCCACCCCACCCCGATCCACAACTTGTTGGCGGGAAAATTACAACTGATACCCTCTTCTTTTCTTTTCTTCTTCCTCAATTTTCCTTTCCTTTATCTCCTCTTTTCCTTTTTTCTTTCCATTTCCTTCCTTCTCTCTTATTTTTTTGATGGGGGGGGGGGGGGGGGTGGGAGGCAACAGCCTGGGAGGCGAGGCCCTTTCGCCCCCCCCGATCTCCTTCTTCCCCCGTTTCTTTTCTTCTTCCTCTTCTTTCTTTCCCTTTTTCTCCTCTTTCCCTTCTTTTCCTTCTCTCTCTCTCTCTCTCTTTTTTCCTCCTGTTTTTTCCTTTTTTGTTTTACTTCCTTTCCCCCTTCTTATGGTCTCCCTTTTTTCTTACTCGGGGGGGGGGGGGGGGCCGGCCGCCCCCCGCCCCCCCCCCCCCCTGGATCCGCCACTGGGGACATGTTACCCTTAATGGTTCAATCATGCACCTTTAGGGGTGCAAACCGATGCAACACTAGCAGTACCTTTATGGGTTCAATCCTGCACCCTTTAAGAGGGTGCCAGATTGCACCTTTTAGGAGACATGTTAGTAGGGGGATCACAATGCCTGTGCACACAGTTTGACCCATGCACACACACACACAACAGCAGTCAGTTGGTAGAAATAGCAATTTTTGTAAATTTATTTCAAAAAAACTAAACAATATTTTAAAAATTGTATTTCACATATATTTCAAGCATACCTTTAACTACAATTCTGTGTAGTGCCATTGTTATAGGCATGTGGGAAATATGTTAAATTATTTAATTAGAATATTGTCTTTTCAGCCATGTGTGACATGGCCTGCTGATCGCCCATTGACTAGCATTGTTATTCTGCGTGGTGAAAATGCACCTCAATGTATAAAAATCCCCTACAAAATATGCAATATCCTCATGTGTTTCACTCATTAAATCAAATTGTTGTTTACACTCAAGGTAGCCACAACTGTATTGGGGTCACTAAACTTCTTGTTACTCTGAAATTCAGTCCCTGTGGAATGTTATGGCCTGTTGAATGGTTTCTCGGAAAATCGTCATAAATCCTCAAATCTGACATCTTTTAAATAGGCAAATATACTGTGATGTAGCTGAAAGTCTGCAAATTCTTATCATATGATCGGTTTTTCTGAATAATTTGTGAAACACATGAAGGAATAACTGTGACGGTGATCCAAGTAATTTCCATGGCCATATTTTATTGGCATTGCAAAAATATTTGGAATTTAAGGTTAATATTTGGTGTAAATATGATCCATGAATAAATGATTTAAAAAATGCCCAAAAAATGAACGGTTTGACTTTCCTAATTAGCATAATGAGTGCGCGAATATATAATCAGCTGAAATGACCTAATTTTCATATTTGATGAATATTCATGATTTTTTAATATTTCAAATGAAATATATTTCCATACCTGTCTGATATACATAGGTTTCACTGATGTATCATGTTCGGTTTTGATTTGATTACAGATGCGCATATTAATTAGGCGGACTTGGTTATTTTCACAACTTTTTCATATCTGCAGATTCGCAAAAAATGGCAAAAATTACTTATTTTGTTGGCTTCTGTTTTCAAAACGGTAATAGGTATATGAATTTTCTTTTTCTGTATTTTTTACCACAAAGATGATATTTTAGTGTCTGATAATTTAATTTGTTATTTGTGTCCAAGAAAGTGATGAATTAACTTTGTCGAATTTGACCATTTCTGGGAGGTTTTTCGGTAATGTTGCGATATCAAAAAAATGGTATAAAATTACAACGCATTGACCGATTTCAATTCTGTTTTTTGTTTTTTGAAGCTTTCATAAAGCTTGATCATTTGCAATCATCAGAAAACATGTGTTTGTTGTACTTATTTTTGGTGTGCTATACCTAATGTTAGTACCCTTAATGGTTCAATCCTGCTCCATTATTGGTGCAAACCGATGCAATAGCAGCATCTTTAGGGGTTCAATCCTGCACCCATTAAAAGGTGCAATCCTGCATCCATACTTGTGGGATACTTGTGAAAATTGCTCGTACACAAATACATATTAGACATGCACGTTGTTTCTTGGTTAGTAATCATATAATCAATATATCTATTGCTAAAACGTGAATGTAATTGTAACATGATCAGACAAAATAATCTATTGGTTAATGATTGCCGAAGGAAAATACAAATCACAAAATTGGTGTGCATTGTCATAATTTGCTTAACAAATCATGATGAATGTATTTTTATGTTGAACACGTGTAAAGTAATCATGAATATGCATGCAATATGAAAACTTTTATTTTGCACCCTTTTTTGGTCGGTAGGGTTCATTTTTGTGGGAAGGGTGCTAAATATTATATTGCAACCTTTTTTGCACCCCTTTTCCTTCAAAAGGGTTCATTTTTATGTAAAGGGTGCAAACTCTTATTTTGCACCCTTTTTTGCACTTTTTTTTTAGAGTGACTACTACTATTACATGTACTACTACTATCACTACTACTAATAATAATAATAGAGGGTTCTGTTCTTGTATGGTGCTCATGTCTCAGACTTGACATTCCTAGCGCTCCACAATTATTACCCTGGCTTTAGCATGGATGCCATTATGCAGCTTTCCGATAGCAAGTCAAGGAGTTAAACGGCAAGTCCGGCTAATTCGCAAAAATCGAATTGAAGAAATTGAGAAAAACTAAACAAACGAAACAGTAAAGGTTTCATCAAAAGTGCCGGAATACATTAGAAATATAGAAACATACGAAAAGTTCAGAAGTAATTTGAAAAGATACTTATTAAGCATTTTGTAAAATCTCTCACTTATGAACCCAGTGCACCATTTCCACTCCCTCTGTATTCTGGGACCCGTTTCACAAAGCCTTTTTTTAATGACAAATGACAAATATCAGTGACAAATCTGCTGATAACCAATCAGAAGCATGGATTTCGGTAGCTTATAAAAAATACTGTCATTTGTCACTGATGACAAGTTTTGTGAAACGGGGCCCAGATCTGTATAGGGCGCGTAGAGACATTCAATCATGCCTATGCGTTATGCACTATACAAACACTTTTAATTATTGTTAATATTTTCCATTGAAACGCAATAGGTTGTCGCCGAGAAAGGCTGCCCTGATATCACGCCAGTGATAGCAAACTTATATTGTCCGTTTTCTAGTTCAGGTAAACCCGATCTAAGAAATAATACAGTCAAAGATAGACCTCGGACTGACTTCCTGCATTGCAAAGCATTGCACCGAATTTTGAACAAAACAGTTTAAACCTAGTATCGAGTTTATATTTTAGGAGAACTAGTAGAGTTTGTCCCGATGGATTCTTCAAGCGCATGTAGAAGAAATCCACTTTTACACTCTTTGTCCAGTAGTGCCGTGTTTGTGCCATCAACCTGGATCGACCAAATCAATTGATTCATAATATATACAATATTTTTTTCGCCGTAACATGAGAGTAACATTAATCGCTTCATTCTTTTAATTAAATGTAATGTTAATTGATATTGTATAATTGTGTTAAGTGGGGCACGCTACAAGAGTCTTATCTCGCACCCCGGGGCAACGTGTCTGACACGGCCGGTTGTAGCAACTACTCCTTAGATCAAGATACATTTATCTTGATCTAAGGAGACACGAACGAACGAACTCTCGAGGCAAACTACTTCATTTAATAAAGTGTATATATATAAACACGCACACCCAATTACACAAACAAAACCAAACAGATACGAAACAAACTTACCAAAATAATCTGATAATACAGCTCAGCTATATGGAACTGGCCCCAGACCCATCACAAACATTACCACAAACGTGTTCGAGAAAGGATCACTGTATATATGTATGTAATTAGCTAGCTTTTAGTATGTAGACCAACGATCAAAATAGTTGCCTTCTTACAATTGAAAGACGGCGCTCCCGCATTACTGCCGAAATCGATAGCTTAGCGATTATTGTTAAGGATCAATATGCGAACATTGTATCCTGCATTGCACCAAATTTTGAACAAAACAGTTTAAACCGAGTATCGAGTTTATATCTTAGAAGAACTTGTAGAGTTCGTCCCGATGGATTCTTTGAGCGCTTGTAGAAGAAATCCACTTTTACACTCTCGAGGCAAACTACTTCATTTAATAAAGTGTATTATATATACAAACTCACACCCAATTACAAAAAAAAAAACCCAAACAGATACGAAACAAACTTACCAAAATAATCTGATAATACAGCTCAGCTATATGGAACTGGCCCCAGACCCATCACAAACATTACCACAAACGTATTCGAGAAAGGATCACTGTATATTATGTATATAATTAGCTAGCTTTTAGTATGTAGACCAACGATCGAAATAGTTGCCTTCTTACAATTGAAAAACGGCGCTTCAGCATCACTGCCAAAGTCGATAGCCTATAGAGATTATTGTTAAGGATCAATATGCGAACATTTTCAATGACTCAAACAAAGAGATGATTATTGATCAAAGTGCGTTTTGTGTTCTTGATGTATCTATACCAGCTCTCGTTGACGTTGAATAGGAAAGGAAGTCAATGGCATAATTTAGCAAAGTCATATAAATGCTTGCCTATCCCGTGATATGCTTTCGGATGGTGAACTGGTGAATCTCAGTTGGGATGTCACATTCCTTCATTTCAAGTCTATTAAATATCGGAAATTGGTTTATACACCGCTTAATATTCCATCCAGTATAGAAAAATATTACACCAGGGGGGTGTTTCACAAAGATCCCACGTCGAACTTAACTCTAAGTTGGACTTAAACATTATGGAGAGCCATTTGTAGCCTTAAAATAAAAATATAGGCCTATTCAAAAGCTAAAATTCAAGTATTTTAGACTTTTTATAAATTCCACATCAAGAACGTGAAATCTCCTTGATAATAGAAAATATGAATAATTTGTATAACATTTTATGCCTTTTAAAATAACTTTTACAAAATATGTTCATAGATGCTAACGGCTTTCCATAATTTTTAAGTCCAACTTAGAGATAAGTTCAACTTAGGATCTTTGTGAAACACCCCCCAGGTGAGAGTTATACAAGTCTTCTTCAGAGTGTGAGTATAAACAACTAGGCCTTCATTCTAGTTGAACCAGCTGACACAAAAATCAATGGGATTAACTGTCGAAACGTTGGCCAGCCCAGTAAATTGCAAAGGAGGTGTAGAGGCTACTATGTGACTCAGGTGTACTTTAAAATATCGATTTTTCCCTACTGGAAAGTTTGCAGAATATAGCTAAGTAAACGGAAAACAAGAGCTGGTTCTGTGTAGGGGATTAATAGTCGTTCATTCATTCACTTCATTTCACCGGAAGCATTAAATATTACAGGAGAATTTCAAAATGACAAGATACGTCACATCAAAGAGTCAAATAATTACTATAAACAGGCAAATCATGTATGATGAAGTATAGGCAGCAAATAAAAAGGGACAAGGTCCTTTATTTGAGACTGACCCTGCAGTTAAAACACATTCAACATCTACATGGTTATCTAAAATATATTTTAAATCGCTTTACACAAGACTATACTAGTTAATTCCATTTTTTGTTTGAGTGCAGATAAGAGGGAAAAGAAGGGAAGGACTGATTGTAGATACAGAGAGATAATTCTGTGAAAGAAGGAGGGAGTACAATATACAAGTAGATTCTCTGTAACTTGTGTTTTCTGAGACACATATTTATGTAGCATTATACTCCACGTTTTTATTCTGTAATCAAATTTACCATTGAAATAATGCGATCTGCTTGAATTGTCATGCGGAATATGCCGAATTAAAAAGATATGTAACCCTTTTTTTTCTTCAATTCAATTCAATTTCGGTTTTATTACAAATATACCAAATAAAAAGTCCGAAGACTAACAATAATTGGCTCACATTGTATCATATAAAAATGCATTAAAAACAGTAAATTAAAAAATTTAGTAATACGTTTAAGTACGAAAAAAAAGTGGAAAAAAATGATTGTAAATTATAAAATGGTGATAATAAATTTGTCAGTGAATTGAGAAGAAAGAAAGAGTGAAAAGTGGTACAGGGAGAGGTAAATGATAAAGAGAGATCAAATTTGAAAGAGAGAGAGAAGGACAAAAATATGGAAACAAGATGAGGGATGAGAGAAAGAGAGAAAAAAAGAAAAGAGAGTTCAATTTATGACAAAAAAATGTAAGCAAATGAACGAGAATTTAGTTGATTCAGCTTAAAGGTAAAGACCAGTATTGGTAACGCCCCAATTTCAAAAAATGAAATGGAAGCTCTCATTACCAATCATGTGAAAGAATATGTTTTGACTAATACATGATGATAACAAATTTGCCGGGAAACTGCCTACTAATTCATATATTTGGTAAATTTGTTTCTCTCATGGTCCTGTGAGAGATATAGGGTAGTCCCATATACATCTTTCTGTGTATAGTGCTTGTAACTTTACGAAGAATGGGCCAAATTTCTTATCATTTTGATGATTCCAGAACCTTGCAGATGCTAGATGCTAGATGATCAACCTTTTCTGATCGATTCCACAACGTTTCTTTCACAATTCAATCGCATGACCATAACTGGTCTTTACCTTTAATGAAGCATTATAAAAGTAAAATGCACATAATACGGAAATATCAAACGATACATTAATACGAATGCCATTATGGAATTGTTATTATACTGATTAACATTGGTGAATGTCAATGACCTAAACATATTGGTGAAAATTATTAACGAGTAATTATCACGTTGTCAGAGAATTGAGAAAAGGAAATACAAGACAGAAATAGAGAAATAGTGGGAGAGGGGAGGAGGGAAAGGAGAAAGAGAGAGAAAAAGCTAGAGAAAGGGAGGAGAGGAGAAAGAGAAAGAGAGAGAGAGAGAGAGAGAGACGGAGAGAGAGAGAGAGAATTTGAATAATGAAAATACATTGTAAACAGGTCTAACAAGATTTCAGTTGATTGAATTTAGCAAACGAACAAGAGAGGGAACTGTCGATTGTTTATAGCGCTGAGTTTTGCATCGTGGTAGGACAAATGATTGGAGTTTCTCAAGCTGCGGCAAGTAAGCACATGGCGCGTTTGTGGCAAGAGATGGCGTTGCCTTGAGGAACCCATAAGTGATTTCGCAAATCTCAACACGTCGGCTATCATGCAAGAGATGAAATGTCAAATTGGCATATTTTGATACCTTATTTGTGACACTAACAGGTCATAAATTGGCTTGGGGTCCATGAAGCGGAGCCCCCAGAAGCTCATAGGTTTTAAGCATTAAATTACGGTCAGATGAGCATCCAGGGGCCCGCCTTACTGGACAAAAAGCCATTAATTCGGGAATACAGACAAAGAAAATTGGCTTATTAGACGGCTGGATATCAGGATAAATGGAATAAAGTCTTGTGTATCGTGTAGGCTACAAACCAAGTATAAACTGGAGTGAGCACAATTTTTTTTTTTGCTCCCGAAAATTTCAAAAATCGCACCCCCCCTTGAGCGCCAGAGGAGGGGGCCCATCTTAAAAAAAGGTAAAATTAACGTGTTTTTATACGTTTTTTTCCCAAGGGGGAGGGGGGCGGGCCCCCTGGATTCGCCACTGAACCACTGCTTGCGCGCTACGAGTGTCACATCACTGGATCCCCGATCCCCGGCTTCGCTACGACACATCATGACAGGTGCGAGCCATCAATCAGAAACTATTGTCAAATACTACAGTCGCACCTTCGAGGCAAGTTATTCAGCCCTCGGTGTCAGGCCAACTTTAGATCCACAGCCTGGGCCTAGCGAAGTTAGGTCTAGTCCTAGTCACAGGACCAGGTCTTTGTCCAGCATAGTACGTTTAGCACCGGCGCACAGTGGGGCAGGGAGGAAGCAAAGTGCGTCAAAACCCATTTTGGGAGATTTCTCTTTTATAAATCCAGAGGAAATGTTTGGATTTCCAAGGATTTCCGCTTAAATTTTATTACCAACGTTTTCTCTGATGTCTAAGCTTTAAGTTGATACCAGATTTGGCTGCCCGATTCTGCCCGTTATTATGTTAGAGCCGTTTTCCTTGCAACATTGCACCGAAAAATGTGTTTATTTTGGTCCGCGGTGTCACGCGCCCCCACGCGCCGTGATTTATGACCGCGAATCCTTCATGATTCAGCCGCGGACCCCCCAAAATAAAACAAATTTGGGGCAATGTGGCAAGGGAAATCGGCTCCAACATAACAACGGGCAAGATCGGGCAGCCAAATTTGGTATCAACTTAAAGTTGAGGCATCAGAGAAAATGGTGGTATTAACATTTAAGCGGAACTCAGCGGAACTCTAAACATTTCCTCTGGATTTATACAAGAACATGGATAATTAGTCCATTTTTCAGTGAATTACCCTAAAGTATATCATGAAGATTGTGTTTCTATTAATTTTAATCCATTCATGCAACGAAATGAACTATCAGAAATATGTGAGAGCAATTTCATATCAATAACTTAAAAACTTCATGTTTAATTGAAAGATTTATAAAATAAGTCACTTTGCACTAAAACTGTGAATATGTAGGATTTTGCTGTTTGAAGGAGTAAATTTATACCCTTATTGTGTATACCGGAATTAAATATTTTGCTGAGGTATTCCTCAATGTGTTACCTTTCAACTGGGCAAGAAAAAAAATGAAAAAAATAAATCACCAAAAATGAGTTTTGGCGCACTTTGGTTCCTCCCTGGCCCACTGTGCGGCGGCTGTTAGCCTGACAAACCGTTCAATGAGTGATAGCCAGGTTGAAATTCTCCTCAACGACATTGCCGAATCACCAGCCATATTGCAAGACATCACAAATTCTTCGGTGAAGGTCACATCAACAAACACAGCTAACACAAATGTTAATTTTCATGGCTGTGTTGTAAACATTTATAATAAATAGGCTTAAGTCTCGGGCCTATAGGAGTGTAAATATGTTCCCGAGTTGCACAGCAAAGACTGTAAATATGTTACTGACTGTGAAGAGCAAAGATTGTTGATGTTGAATTTCTTTTAGCGTTGGATTTTTGAACTACAAAAGACTCTGTAAATATGTTAGTTACTGTGATACTGATTACTAGTGTGAGGAGCAAATACTCTTCTTATTCTGGTGAGTAAATCCTCTTGATCTCGTTTCCTGTTTGTTACTAGTTAAAGCTAGACCTTCAGCTAGACCTATTCATAAAGCAATAAAAAGGATGAAGTATATAAAACAAATATGGACTGCTCTGTAATCGGATGATGGTGGAAATTATCACTCCCTCAGTGGGGTTCATAACGACCCTTCTACTATCACATCAAAAACGTCAATTTGGGGACAATTTTAAGAAAAAGGGTACTTTATTCCTTGAAACGCAGCGCGCGTAACAGCTGCACTGCTAATGCCAGGGTAATTATGCTGCATTATTGTAGAGCGCTTAGAGACTTCTGACAAAGAAAGTGTTTGGCGCTATATAAGCACTGTAATTATTATTATTTTTCAAAACGATTCAAAATCCTGCTGTACGCGCCGGTATACGCGTTTAAGGGTATTGTTCTATCCCTCAGGGCCAGACATGGGGGGAAAAGGGTGAGGGGGGGGGGGGGGGGGTAATGAATGCTCTTTGGCGAGACTACCGGCCGCCGCCTAGCTAGTTATAGCAAAGATGATAGTCGTGCGGCACTGGTAACCCGACACATGCTCCGCCGACGATTGCTCCGCCGACATTTACTCCGCAAAACGCGACAATTGCTCCGCGACATT